TGACCCGCTCAGTTGTGTTCTGTGTTTGGGTTGTGCTAGGGAGATCAGATTTTGCATATTTGCTTTTTTTTCATATTCCTTCAGTTCTCCATTGGAGTTTAATATTTATACAAACGTTAGAGGTACCTAACTGTTCGTATCCAAAAGTTCAGCGTATGCGGTTGTTCTAAATAATGGCTCTCGTTTCAGCCTTATGTGACTGAGTTGCCTTCCCTTTTAGGATCTGGAATCCTTCTCTTCGTTTTCCATTCAAATTTCTTTGGTAAAGAAGTCGTTGCTCGGCTCTGTGGACCATGCAGTGTACAAGCTGTGGTTTTAAACGACAAATTCCAGCTCCCTGTATTTTTGGTAAGTCATCATATAACTGACTGACCGTAAAACTGGTCTGTAAAGTCTGTGGAACAGCCTGGGAAATTTTAGAGCCTTAATTTGGATTTTGAGTGTTATGATGCAGGCGTGGTGGTGGTGGTGGCTGGTGATGTTGGTGTGTGTTGTTTTTGTTGTTGCTGTTTACTTATTTTTTAATTTTTGAAATGAACTTTTTGGTGTGTGTGTAAAGAACTGCAAACCCTGTAATATTAGATTCCTTTAAAAGTTATGACTTAAAAGCCAGGGGCATGGTTGTGGGCAGCCTGCTCTGGGTGTCCCTGCTTGAGCAGGGCTCAGACCAGGTGGACACAGAGGTGCCGCCAACCTCAGCTGCCCTGTGACGCTGTGACCTCAGGACTGAGGGCTTGAGCAGGGAGGCGACAACTCTGAATCTGAAGGTGCTTCACTTCCCAAATTCCCCTGGCCTCTCCAATTTTTGACCCAAGTCTGTTATTAAATATAAATGTTTTGCCTCGTTTTAATGAACTCCCTTGTGTTTCTACCAATTAATTTAAATTTATTTTTTTTCCTGTTAAATGTATCACTGTGCACTCTGTTTTTTTTTCCCTGCAATTATGACAAAGGTTATTTGCAGCATGTGCAACTTTAAAACAAAGAAACAGACACACACACACTAGTTTAATTGTCATGTTCTGTTATTTCAATTCGCACAGCACTTTTAACCGTATCCTGCCACTAATTTTGGTGATTTTCTTTTTCCTTTTAGGATAGTCACTTTATTTATTCCTTCAGCCCTACTGCAGGCCTTAACAAGCTTTTTATACGGTTGGCAGAAGCTCCTACTGCCAAGGTACCAAATGCTCTCAAATACTATGTACTGTACAACAAGTTAACTCTTCTGTAGTCTGAGTGCTTCTGGTTGTGTGTTGCAAATGTAAAACCAAGGATTCCCCACTGTCTTCTCAACCCAGTTCTTATCAGGAACTCGTGCGCTGGGATAAACTAATGGTACAGCCAAAATTTTTCTACATCTGTACCGTGAATTTAATGACAACTACAGGGAGTTGTCATCTGCATACAGATGGTTTTTGTGTGCCTTTAGAGTTTGGAAGTATTTATCCCGATACGCAGTGTGCTGTTAAATAGCCTGTGGTGTCCTTTGTGTGTGCTTCCAGGTGGTTTGGGCAGTCATCCCACTGCACGTTGCAAGAGGAGTTACAGATCCTGTGTAGTGGGGCTTTTTATGGAAGATACACCAGTAAATTTTTTAGATCTTCATATTTAAGACTTAAATTGTTAAATATTTTATTGTACGCTTCAGTTTTTTAATCCATTATGAATAAGGATATTCATATGAAAGTGTGTGTGTGCATGTCTAGTTCATACTTTTCCTTTTTTTCCTCTTCTGCTCATGACTGAGCAATCTCATACGTGCCTTTCCTCATGCAGAAGACGTTCAGTACAGCTTCACGTGAACAATCTGTGTACGAATCCTTTGCTTGTTTTTCCAGGTAAAGCTGCTAATAGGAGCGTACAGAGTGCAGTTGCAGTGACCTCACAGTTGCAGACGTGTTGAGTGGACTGACACTTTTGGAAATACTTCTGATTCCTCTGTTCAGAGACTGACAAAGCAGTTTGGAACTTTTTGGCACCACACCCTTAGGACTAAGCTCCCATCTCACTGTCATTTGTTGGCATTCATATAGGAAAGGATGTGTTGGAGAGCAGCTGCGTGTGCTACACTGGTTGGGACAGGGTTGTCAGCATTTTTTTTACCTTTTACAGATGTAGATGTAAGTATTTGTGCCAATACACACAATTCTGTTTAACTTGTGGAGTCCAGACTGCATATTTCAGCTTTTCCACAATGTGGAATGGTGCATATGAGAACTATTTAAGGTAACTAAGTAAAATGTTTTTTAATAGAAGGATCTTTTCCATTTGTAAACTACAGTTTTCTACTTACTCTAACTGTAATGTTTCTATGTAAAATGCAGAACTGATGTATTAGAGCCATGGGTAGAAGTTACACTTTAAAGTTACTGCATTAGACTTAACCTCGAATCGCTAGGGGCTGCGTTCTGGTTTGAACCTCTTCCTGCTGTTGCTTCCTGATGAGAAAGCAGGTGTGCTGAGAGGGATTCCCTTCGGACACACATTTAAGTCCATGTGCAGGTATGAAGAAGGGCATCCAGATAGGCCCAATTTGCAGAGAGCTGCGGTCAGATTCCTCCTTAGGTCAATGCTTGAAAACTAATTTTGTATTAGAGAAGCAACTGATAGTTTTACAGGCATCTTAACTGGGGAGTTTTTAGTTAAGTGGCATATGGGAAAACAAAAGCTGCAAACAGCAAACCACAAAACTCATTAACCTACCTTCAGTGTGCGGGCAGTGCTTTTTGTACATGAGAAAGTACAGAGGGCTTCAGCTGTTCCCAGCCTGGTGAGAACACGCATTGCCCTCTAGTTCAGAAGTTCAGTTCCTGAGTGCAAAGAGCTGCTATCTTTTTTTTTTTTAAATGCCTCATTTTATCAGATGACAGCAGTTCTGTGATGGTTCTGTGCTATACTATACAAATGTAACACTTCTGCATGAGGTACAGAGTATTTTTCTTTGTAAATTAAACATCTTGGAAAGTAAAGGGGGGAAAAACGGAGAAAAAAAACAGATTGTGCCTTTGCTGTTCTGGTTGCCACAGGTAGTTTACATGCCACTATGTGCCTATACTGCTCACAAAACTATTGTGGATAAATTCTTTAATGTATTCGAGTGCTCACCATTAAAATGGTGCAGATGTATCCTTTTAAGAACTGTGACTTTGTATGAAAAAGTTCAGTTAGCCAGGTTTTAATTTTTGGTTCTTGAAAGTTTAAAACTTTCATAATGAGAGATGCCAAATTATCGTAACGAAGCACACTATTTCAATTTTGTGGAATGTCACATTAAGCTCTATGAAACTAGAACAGCAGCACGACGTACTCGCTTCTGTTTGGATTTAAAATAGTCTTTTTGCAAACAGTATTGATGAGATGTTAACAGGTCTGGGTTTTGAACAGACGTGTTACCTCCGCCTCTGATACACGTGAGATACCTCATTTTGCTAAATATCGACGCCTGAGATGCACAAAAAGCGCTGGCTGAGAATCAGGTTTGTCCCTACCAGCACTTGGGAATTTTGTGTAGCTGCATTTCTTCTTCGTCACTATTAACGAACTTTTAAGCATATTATGAAATAATCCTGGAAGATTAATAAGGGTAGGGTATGCTCTGAAGTGTTTCCTTACATTGGAGTGATCGCTGTCATGTACGTGGCTACCATTTCCTCACTATCCCTGCATTTACGCTTCAGAGTATGGTGCGTGCATGGTGAATGCTGTACAGCACACCTTGGTGGTAAACGTTGGAGCTGCTCAAGGACTGTGCGAAGACGGGGACAAAGGGTTTGTGAACAAATGTCCATATAATATTTAGATGCTGTTTAGAACCTGTTGTACGGTCTAACCTAAAAATGTCTAGTACTGCTCCAAGAGTTGGCGTAGCAAATAGTTGTCAAAGGTGGTGTTGGGGGGGATTTTTTTTTTTATTTTTATTTTTTTCCTCCCTTCCCTTGAGGTGTTTGGGAGGGAGGGAAGAGTTCTGCAGGACTGGGGAATAAAACCTGAGTTCATGAAGCTCTTATTGAGGGATGGATTTTGCAGCCATCTCTTTTGGTTGGGGATATAAAGTTTAGATCCCTATTTAAGATATGTAAAAGGTGTATGAAAAGATGTTTAAAGCTGTTACTTGTCTGACTTTACTACATTGTTTTTATCCAACTGCTAAGTAAAAGGTTTTGGTGGACAAAGGAGAAAGAGAAGGTAGCTATAATAAAAATCATTTCTGTAGACACTGTGCAGAAATACTTCTGAAGTATTTGTGTGTTTTTTCTTGCTGCTATCAATCAGCAAGGCTGAGCAGCTGGCCTTACGATGAATGGCAGTGGCAATTGTCCTGATGGCTTGGATTTGTCATATTTTACCGCTGCAACAGCAGCACTTGTGGTCCTGGTGTCTCTCTCAGGTACTGGAGGCTGGTGGGTGACAGAGGGGGCTTCCTCACAGCTCATCTGAGCTTTCTGCATCCATTTTGTGAAAGGGAGATGCTGTAGAATGATGAAGTGATGAAGGCACTGGAGCATCTCTGCTGTGAGCAGAGGCTGGGAGAGCTGGGGCTGCTCAGCCTGGAGAAGAGGAGCCTCAGGGGGATCTCATCCGTGTCCCTAAATCCCTGAAGGGAGGGTGCAGAGAGGCTGGAGCCAGGCTGTGCTCAGTGGTGCCCAGTGCCAGGACAGGAGGCCATGGGCACAGCCGGGCACCCAGGAGGCTCCCTCTGAGCACCAGGCAGCACTGCTGTGCTGGGCGGGTGACGGAGCCCTGGCACAGGCTGCCCAGAGAGGCTGTGGGGTCTCCTCCTCGGGGATCCCCAAAAGCCAGCCTTCTTCAAAACTCAGCTCCTGCAAAGCTGCTCCACATCCAGTCTTATGTCCAGGCTGTGCTACTGCCTGAACTTACTCTGTGCCCAGAATCAGATTTTAGTTTTTGCCTCTATTAAATTCCATGAGGTTCTTGGCAACTGCTCTGTTCTATTCATGGTCACTGCCTTTCTGAGGTCAAGAAACAGAAAATTAATCTATGAATAACAGGAAGTTTATTTGAAACAGTTTTATTAGAAACAGAAATCCCAGGGGAAAAAAATCTGCAGTGCTACATTACAGTGCAATGGGAAAACCTCATGACATCGACGTGCATTTTTCATTGTTTGTTTCCTTCACTGGTTTTCATTTTTCATTAGGCAACATTATTATAGCAGGCATTTTACATTATAACATCAAGCTCAACTGCATAGATGGTGAAATCTTTCTCCAGTTTTAATTTTTGTTATTGGTGAGCATTTCCTCAGTTTTCAGCTAGTCTGTTGCTGGCTTAGTTTTCTCCAGGTAGCTAATACTTCTCTGCACCATTGCAAACTCAGTACTGTAACTTAAACACAACCCCAACTACTGTTCTTTCTTCAAATACAAGACTAACCACACTTTCCCCTCTTTTGTCATATTTTAGTGCTTAATCATATTTTCTTATTTGTTTCATCTAGCTTTAAGAGGTTTTAGTCCAAAACTGATCATTTAATCAAGAAGTGGTACTTCAATATATCATTTCCTCGGAGCTCTGTTACAGCATATACAAACACAACTCCTTTTATCAATACCATTTCCCAGTACTTGACTTTCCTGAGCGCTGGATCCCCCCTCTGCTGGAACTTGAAGCCATCACAGCACCTGTAACTTGCCTCATGCTCATACAGGAAAATGCTTCTTGAATATCGTAAGGAGACATCAGATTTCTTCTGGTGCCTCTTTCCCAACATGGAAAAGGGAGAGGTAAATCAGATGAACGCAGTCTGGGGCTGCTGCCACTGCCTGCAAGCAGAAGGAGCACAGCCTGGGTGAGAGCGATCCGTCCCTGCTGCTCAGCTCGCTGCCACAGCTTTAATTGCTGTTGTATCGGATAGCAGCGCTGTTCTTGTGCCCAAAACCAGAGAACACTGAGGGAGAAAGAACGCATTAGACAACAATCAGACACAAAGAGACCGATCATTAATCTAGCAGACAGGAAACATCACCCAATCACACCGACCATCATGCGTTCCAATGACTGAAAGCAGGATTAGTTTCTCACCTCCAGTGGTCCTTTCAATTCCAACTTGAAGAGCAGAATTTTGCACACAGGGCATAGCAGGCAGTCAGCTCCAGTTTGAGGCTATGTGGCCGCCAGCATCTTTAATCAAAACCTGATCCAATGAAGAACATTTTCAGGACATAAATATAACTCAGGCCAAGGAGTTAGACACTGAAATGATTCAACTGATTCTTGAAAAAGTACTTTTGTAATCAACATGCAGCAAAACTCAAACTACAGGGTGATGCGTTACAGCAAGTACAGCTGGACAAAGAGCTTGGAAATGCGGACGCTTTCCCAGATCGCATGATCAGAGGTTATCTGAGCTGCCGTCCACCATCCTAGGAACCCCAGTGGCAGGAAGACTGACGGAACATTTTGACCTCACGATGAATTAAATCAGAGCCCAGTACCTCTGCCGGCACAACAGAACTGCGTGAAATTTGTTTCGAAGTTGAGAGCTGAAGAAGGGAATTGCAATGGCAAAAGCACAAAGCCAACATTCATCTCTGCAAAATTCTGCTCATCAGAAAACTGATATAAAACTGAACAGGTGTAATTTTGTTTTCTTATTTCTTTTTTAAGTGACTGATTTGGCTGACTCAGAGTCTTTTGCAACATGTTTCAGTTTGCCGTTGCACACTATGCCCCAAGCACAATGAGAGCCACTCACATTTTAATCTAATCTTTTCAGAGTTTTTAATGCAATTTAATTAGGCCATTAGGCTCTGCCAGCCAGGTTCACACCACTGAATAGTGGGAGAAAGAGAAGGGAAGGGTTTTATCACTCCGCTGAGACAAGAAGTCATTATTTAGCCAGTCAAAGGAACATTTGTATCTCCAGGGAGCCTTGGCCATCCTCTCTTCCCTTCGCAGGAAGGAAGGAGAGCAACTCGGGGACAGACAGAGTCTGAAGCACCCAGGAAGCTTGCCAAGCGCCAAGGCTCCCAAAAAGCCCTTTTGCACAGGGCTGGTCTGATACCTAAGGGAAAGCCAGAAGGCTGAGTTCCCAACAGCACTTGGTCAAGACAAGAAGTCAGGTGGACAGAAAGAAAAAGAGAAAAAAAAAAAAAAACATGATTTAAACAGCATAAATAAGTGGTTGGATTTTTTTCCTTTTTTTTTTTTTTCTTCTTTCTTCACTGATGGCAGAAACAGTTTTACCTGTATTACTTTTTTTTTTTTTTTTTTTTTTTAGATTTTATGAGTAAATGCCTATAGCGTATTTCTTTAGCCTGGTGTACATTATATTATGATTTTTACAAGTCCTAGAAATGACAGGGAACAACTTAGTAAAAGCAAGGCAAAGCCACAAAACAACATGTGTGTGAGTTTCCCCATCTCCCCTCACCTTCAACATCTGCTAAGCAGAAGATGTCCAGGCTAGGGAACACTGAAGAAAGCCACTCACCATGGACAAGAAGGCGGCTGACAGGAGTCAGCACGGATTTATGGAAGGGCCATTTGCAAATCCTCAATCAACCTGCCCTCACAGCCTCCCGTGATTAGGTGACCTGCTCTGTGGGCATGGGGACAGCAGCGGGTGTTGCTTACCCTCACTTTCAGGAGGTTTCTGACACTTTCTGCCCTTGCAGCCTCAATGACAAGCTGAAGGGGTACGGGCTGGGTGGCCCGTACCAGCGAGGTGGGCTGAGAGGTGGCTGAACAGAGCCAGGAGCATGCGATCAGTGGCACAAAGACCAGTTGGAGGCTGGCACCCAGCAGTGTGCCCCAGGCAGTCAGCACTGAGGCCAATCATTTCCAAAACCTTCATTAATGACCTGGATGCTGGGACAGAACGCACCTAACAGCACGTGTGCGAGAGATGCAGGGCTGGAAGGAGCGTGTGAGGGGGCTGTGCTGCCATCCAGAGGCACCGTCACAGGCTGGAGAAATGGGCTGACAGGATTTTGTGGAGTTATCAGAGGGAACAGGCAGCTCCTGCCCCTGGGGAGGAACCACCCCAGGCACCAGGACAGGCTGGAGGCCAGCAGTATGAAAAGCAGCTCTGCAGAAAGAGCCCTGGGGGAGCTGAATGAGCCGGCAATGTGCTGTGCCACAGCAAAGGGCAGCAGCAGCATCGTGTGCTGCATCAGGAAGCTGTCAGCAGGTTGAGGGAGGAGATCCAGAGAGCTGGGACTGCTCGGCCTGGAGAGGGCTGAGAGGAATCCCATCAGTACGTACAAACCGAGATGAGAGGGCAGAAAGACCACAGAGCAAGAGCCTTCCTGCTGGTGCCCAGTGACAGGACACGAGGTGAGAGTAGTCTTAGGCTGATGGTCGGACTTGATGAGGACCTTTTCGTAAATGACGTAAATGACTCTGTGAGCACCAGGCAGCACTGCTGTGCTGGGCAGGTGACAGAGCCCTGGCACAGGCTGCCCAGAGAGGCTGTGGGGTCTCCTCCTTGGGGAGCTCCAAAAGGCGCCTGGACGTGGGCCTGGGCAGCCTGCTCTAGCCGGCATCTTGCTTTGAGCGAGGTGTTCAGTCACAAGATCTCCTTGGCACCCTTCCAATCTTGGATATTCTGTAATTATGTGAAGATCCAGCCCCAATTTCAGTGCAGAGGTGAGGTTAGCACCACAGGGCTCCTGCAGCAGCAGCAATGCAGCTCTCTGGCTCCTCGCTGGGTGACCGGAACACCAGGGAGCAGAGCTCCAACACCTCATCTGAACCACGTACAGAAGAAACTTTTTCTTTGGAGAAATCCTTTACAAAGCAGTGCTACCTAAATAGATGTAGCAGATAGAGTAAAAGGCAGAAAAAAAAGAGAGGGCTGCTGTGGAATATAATAGGAAACGTCTGTCTTGGGCAGAAATTTTGAACTATTTCTGCGAGGCAATTTTGCAGTACTGTGTAATTCCTAGTCCAGTTTGAGATTTGTTACTGCAGAAAGACTTTTTCTCATGTTGCCCTTCCCATGCTTTTTTTTTTTTTTTAAACAGAATAACAAAAGGTCCCTGTCACGTTTATACTCCCCAAGCAACTCAAGTTTTACTGCTTACTTCGCACACAATTACTGATGGAAATCAGTGAGAGGATCTCTGATTAGCAATAAATGACACCATCCATTGATAGGGCTTAGTATATCTTGATTAGTTCTCTTTTACTGTAAACATAACTATAGTGACAGCTCTCATTTACCAGGCCAAACATGGAGAACACCCATGAGAACTAACCCAAATTCCTCTTGCTTGATCAGTACAGCTAAAATCTCAGGTAAATCCCATCAGTGCTTAACAGGACTTTTACTCTATAAAAACTACTGATAATTTGGAATTCCAGAACTGAACCAACCTCCCTTTAAAACCTGCACGGTGTACAATAGTCCCACTACCAACACGTAGGGTAGACACAACAAACCTGCATGTTTGGGAACTGAGCTCAACCCCAGGTTTTACAGAGGACATGGATACAGCCTTGTAGGCTAAAAGCCTGCTGGCTAATCCTGAAGACTGTTCAGAATCTGAAACTACATTGTATTGATCTACAAATTGGATTCTGCATGCAATGCTGTCCCTCGAGGCCTTTAAAAGACGCTTTGATGTAGAGCTCAGTGATACGGTTTAGTGGAGGGCTGGTTAGTGTTAGGTCAGAGGTTGGACTTGGTGATCTTGGAGGTCTCTTCCAACCTAGCTGGTTCTGTGAATAACATCCAGCAGCCTGGACACTGCAGCAATGTGGCATTGTGGCATTTGTTTGGAGAAGCACTATGAGTACCCAGATTTTGAGCTGTTTGCAGAATGCTGTGTATGTACCTTTCAAGTTGTTTAATAACATGGTAATGTGTGACAGGAATTATGAAATGAATAGTCACGTATTATCTGAAAGCAAGTATTAATTGAAGCATATAAGCAGAATTACATAAAATCACAAGCATGAAAGCAAAGCTGGCTCCTGATTTCAGTAATGGCTAAATAAAGCCAAATACCCCAATACATACCTCGTGCTACAACTTGGTTTAGGATTCCCTTTTGTATTCAGAAGGTAGCCGGATTCTACAAAAGCCAGTCTTCATCTGCATTTTAACATTTTAATGATAACCTAAAAAATAAAGAGACAGCAATGACACAAACTGGAAAAAAAGTAGCTTCTCTTTTCAAATACCCATTTTTTTAAATACCCTTATGTATAATATCAGGAAATAAATGGATTTTTGTGGTAAAGTCTCATTAATGTTTATCCTCTACCTATTCTTTCCACTTGGTTGTTCCTGCGGATTTCTCTATCCTTAAAATTTTAAATTGAATTTGACCATGTAGCAGTTAAAAACCAGCTGGCTCAAGGCATAAACAGGCTCCCAAATTTCATACTTCACCCAGATGTAGAGTAAGTGCAATTCTGCTCCCGAGTTTTGTCACCATTCCTTGTAGGGTTTTAAAACATACATACTCAAACAAAACACTGTTTTCTGCTAAGCCAAATGCTAGGCCAAAGCTGGGTTTCATCCTTCTCATGTTATTGCCATTAAGATAATTTGGATCCCTGCATACAACCCAGTGTCTTTAATTAAATGTGACAGAACTACTCTCACTGTCGTGCTGAGGTCAGGTAAGTAAAGTGCAGTCTCCTCCACGTTCCTCAGCCTGCTGTGGTGCAGACATTGAAGAGGATTAAAACCATGTATGAAAACTAAATTGGAGTAAGATGCCCTACTTTAAGATCTTGGAGCAAAACTACATACAAGTCTCATTAAAACATAATTAATACTAATAATAGTAGAAATTGATGCAAAAGTTTAAGACTTTTCATTTCAAAACTTCTGCAATAGGTGTGCTTGCATTCGCAGTAAGTGCAGTCACAAGAGCAAAGAGCAAGTCAGTATAATTTTATTCCTATTAATTCATATTAAAATTATTTTAAATACAATATAAAAATTGCTTAAGATCAAAACAATGTTAATCATGGTATGCATCTTGAACTCTGTGTGGCTTCTTTTAACATCCACACACAAAATAATGTATCAAATCAGTGTATAAAACCCAGCAGCTCCCTGTCCCTGTTGTTTGGGCTTCAAAACAACTTTCACACATGCACACACATTTCCACCCTCCCCTATCCCCAGCTAAAATAGTCTCTTCTATACAAATGCCTCAGATTTCAAACAACACCCAAGTCCTGCAGTGTTTGGTAGGGTTAATGTACAGCCCGTTGCTCGGGCAGGGGAAAACAGAAGCATGCTGCAGAGCTAAGGAGCACTACAGAAATCTGTGTACAGAGCAAGACTGACTGGGAAAACCCCGACTACAGCAGCACAACAGGATGAAGAGCTTTGTGTTCACTCAGATACGGACTTCCTAGAAGAATTACTGACATCTTGAGGTCCTGAGTGATGATCAGAAACCTCAGCACATTGAAAAATACTTCTTACAGAAAGAATTACTTCCAAAACCCACACACAGGTTGCATCTTTTAGGCTGGATTCACTTAGATAACAGCCTCAAAAAGCAACTCGGAGCAACATGTGCAAATTGCAACACCACCACAAGCATCTACAGTAGAGGTAGTGTTTACCTGATCAGATGCAGCTGTAGAACTGCAGCTCAGGTTACACACAAAGGTGGTAAAATTTATGTCCAAGACCTCTAAAAAGTGCTGGTAACTTCAACAATTCCCCCATTTCCTTTCCATCTCTTCCCCCTGCCCACAGTGCAGCTCGCTACACGTCCCATTTTAAAACTCCTTTGCCATCTCCATGACGGCCGGGCAGACAGATGCTGAGGCAGCACGGAGCACAGCCTGCCAACCCTCGATAGCTACAGCTCTAATTTTGCAAGCCCTACTACTAAAATCCTTTAACCACTCAGTTACAAGTTGGCTATGACTGTCAGACCCAGAGGCCAGGCCTGAATTGTCTCTCTAAGTACTAGTGGCAACGCTGGTAGTGCCCTGTGACACGGCCTCCATATGGTGAGACTAATTCAGCTACTGAAAAACATGTACCCATCTTAAAGGGAAACTAATTACCAGTTGTCATTTTTTCAGTCTACATTTTAATATTATGAATAAAATAACACTAATTAATAAGTCTTTCTTTATTCCCTTTTCCCTGTCTACAAACAGCAAGCCTAAAACCCCCTGAGGCCTAGCAGCCTCCAGCTCCTGTAACAGCCAGCACCTACAAGTTCTCTTTCTTGACCACTCAAATTTATTAAAGAGAAACAGAGACAGATTCTTGGCAACTTAAATGTTGGCATTAGTGACAAGTTTTTAGCAAAACTCCCAGAAAACATCTTTGTTTTTGAAGACCATGCCTAAAACCAGGCAGCAAGACCATGTGGTAGTGTTACCAAATAACCCATTTACCATAACTTATACTAAAAAGTGATCGTATTATAGTGGTTTGGGTTTGTTTCTTAGATGCAATAGGTATCCTCCACACTATTTCTTCAGAATGCTATCCTCACAACAATCAGAGACCCCTCCAACCCCTCTGTGCTGTCGGAGACTTCCACAGGTAACAGTGATTACTCTTAGTCCTGACGAACCCCGGCAGCTAATGCTGAAGCAAAACATATCGTTATTTTCAAAGAACAGGCTCCAAATCACTTTCAGATGAATGATAAAGCATTTCTTTAAATTAAAAGTTCAGTATGTAGGTGTTGTGCCAGGCAAAATGTATCTGAAATGCTCTAAACAGCCAACGGCATGGCAAAAAGGCATATCCTGAAGGGAACAGATGTGTCAAGCACACACTAAAGCAATACTATGCACATATCGTGTCATTATCAAAGAAAAATGAAAACCAGCTCCTCAGTACAACCCATCTCAAGCTGTATGCCTTCATTTACCAGGGTGCTCTCCATGACCTCTTCCCAATACAGACTTGCCTTGCTCCTACCAAGCAGACACAGCCGTGGCAGCCCGTGGCCCTGAAGGATATTCCACATTTACCTTACGTACCCATGCTGTTGTGCTTCCTTCTCAGAGCACACACTGGCTGTTTTTCTTTGTTTGTTTTTTAAATTAATAGGATTTTGGGTGGTATTGTAAGAGAACCCATCCCCCTTTATTTTACGTCTACGTTAAAAATTACCTAGCAACACAGAACAGCAGCATAGGCAAACTCTGACTTCCCGTGCAGTGGAGCATGTGGCACTTTGCACCAGCAGGCACCGTCCTGAGTAGCACAGCCACCATCCATCACACAAAAGGAAGAGCTCCCGATTCCGAGCTTTTCTCAGGACAACACACGATCCCTTCTGGTCATTTACTTGGGGCTACCAAAGGGAACCTGAGCGAGACGATCCACAGAGCTGTGTTCATGTCTGCATTTGGTTCAGATTTTCCTATCAAAAGGTAACAGATAACAATGTTGGCTGAAGTGCTAATGGAAGGTAGAGCTAGACATTTCTAAATGGTCAAGTAATCTTATCCTCCCCGTTCTCTTAGATTTTACTCTAGTCAGGCCAAGCCTTGCTCACCTCTATCATGAGTAGCCACTAATGAGGACAGAAACATACATTTACATCAAAAAACACCAAGAGTAAACCAGTAATTAATTGGACATCACGGTGTGGCTGCCTGTGACTACAGGAGATGAATCCAATACAACTTTTTCCAATCTTACATGTATGTTCCCAAAATTCTGTCCCTAAGAACATACAGCCTTGCAAAAAGATAGAAGTAAGAAAGAATTTAAGGCAAACAGTGAGCATTACCAAATTAAGGCTCTACAGGAAGATTAAGTTCCTAGAAAGAAAAGGACAAATAGTACTTGAACCGATCCAGCGAGTCATTCGTTTTCCTTGACTATTAAAGCATTTTTTATCTATTTCTCAGTTTTCAGTCTATAAATTATAGGGTATCTGAAGTTAGCAACTTACACAGAATAAGGAATGTGAAAGTAGTAATATTTCTTTTCTGGAATCACACTTCCAAAAAAAAAAAAAAAAAAGGTGGTGGCAATTACTAGAATTACTAGTTACTACTACAGTCTAGGTGACTAGATAATAAGCCATTACCAGTGACAATACTGTAATCCAAGGATTTATTTTTGTTTTGCCTGGATAATAAAACTGCAGTCATGCAAATTATTTCTTCAGTATTTGGGCAACTATGAATGTCTGAAAATATCTTAAAAAGGACAAAGATTTCATGTGTGCAGCTTCAGCAAGGCCCAAATTTGAAAACAAAATAAGGACATAGTAAACTTCACAAGAAGTCTTCATTTGGGAGTCATTATGTTTCTAGACATAAGACTACTTATTTAACAGGAAAGGTGGAAGGGTTTTTTTTGTTTGTTTGTTTGTTTTTGTGTGTGTGTGTTTTTTGTTTGTTTTTGGTAAAATGTAAAGATTCCCTAAGATCTCCAAGAACTCTGGATTTGATCAGCAGAAGGGAACTTAGTGCTTAAGTTCTTAACATCACAGACCCCCTGCTGCACAAAGTAATCTATTATATGTATTTTAACAAAAAAAAATTAACTGTGAGGCTGTAGTCATACACAGTCATTAAAATATTCCTATATAAAACAGCAACTCCACCCCACATTTTGGATTGCTGGCTCATCCCCTGTGTTGCTCACTAACCTTCCTGTGTCAGGCCAAGCAATCTGCAGCAGCAGCAGCGCTAGCCCATCAGGTTACTTTCACAATTAGCCATCCTACACACCACCATTAATGCAGCTGCAAAGTCTTCTGATGTCCAGATTTCTACTTCCAATGACTGTGCTCATGTTGAGTAGTTTGAAAGAGTTTGCCCAAGCCATAGCGTCATTTTCTCCACTCAGAACTCTGGTGCCTTTTAAAACAGATGCAAAGCTCCTGAGCGCTTTACCATACCTTACCTTATCACAATCAGCTAAATACAGAGCTGTTGAAAGGAACAAGGGAATAACTTTTAACCCTTATCTCTTTCCCCTACAAAGTGATGTATAGATGTGACTTCAAAGAAAACTCTAGCATCTAGACCAGTTCTATCACTCAGCATTGAAGTTACAGCTAAAATTTCATGAACTTGCTTTAAGTCAGGTTCTAGAAATTCAAAGCAAATTCAGCCAATCTCAGGAATTTACAGCCTGTTTACACACTGAGCTTGGAACAACTTAACTCTGCTGTAAACCAGACAGTTACACCAGCTCAACTAGCAGGTGTCTGAGTACAATCACTATTCTTCTACTACTCTAACACAGCCAGAAGTCAGGATGCTATTGTACTATGCATTCTGAAAGTGAGTTTACAATTATGCTGAGATGAGAGAACCACTTAGAAAAGTCTAGATTCTAGAAATATGCATAGTTATTCATGTTAATTCAGCCTGATTTACAAATCTTTTTTAAAACGCTGTTTAAAGAAACTAAGGATGTGTATAAGCAAAGCCTAGGAGCCAGTTTACTCAGAACTTACACTTTAACACCACTGAAAATTAGCAAATGCCTTGTATTATAAAAAAGAATTTATATACAGCTCAGATGTGATGATCTCAATACCTTAAGAATATTTTAGATTTTCAAAAAAAATGGGGGGAGGGGTCTAGTTTCAAGGGAAACTTCCTGGGTTTTGCAAAATCCAAGTTTCTTTAATATTTAAAAAAAAGAAAAAAGAAAAAAGACAATATCACTAAGGATTTGTGAAACTAGCTGATATAGAGAGCATTCACCTGTGACATGTTATAGCAATGCTGCATTACACAACTTTACACAACATTCCCCATTCCCTCCTGTAAGATTCCTTACCTGTCGTTTTTGCAGCAGGTGCCAAGTTAGGCCCGTGTCCTAACTTCCTCTTCCAAAATAATGAGAAGAATTAGTTATCTTTGTGGGGCTACAACTTCCAAAGCCGTAAGACTGTGCCAGGGTACAAGGGAAGGGCTGTGGTTGTATGGTCTTTACAACGAGAAACAATTCACGTTTCACTCAAAGAGCTTTCATCTTTGAAGCACTCCATTTGAAAACGTATCGTAGCAATACTAAGCAAGAGATACTTCTTTATTAAAAGGAAACCTAGTAAGGAAGCAATCAAGCAGCTAATGATTTAATAGGTTTTAATGTTAATTTATATAGATTAAGAAAGTCAAAGCTTTATTTAAATCAATGGCTAAGGCTGGCAGGGCCCTCTGGAGGCCCTGCTTGGGCAGGGGTGACACCAGGGGACACATAGAGCAGGCTGCCCAGGGGGATTTTGGGGATCCCCGAGGAGGAGACCCCACAGCCTCTCTGGGCAGCCTGTGCCAGGGCTCCGTCACCCGCCCAGCACAGCAGTGCTGCCTGGTGCTCAGAGGGAGCCTCCTGGGTGCCCGGCTGTGCCCATGGCCTCCTGTCCTATTAAAAGGTCTTGTAAATATTTTACCTGGAATTTCCTTCCTATGCTTTTAATTCTGCTGAGTGACAATATTGATTTCTGATTGCTTCATTGTGACAAAGACAGAATAGCTACTTCTACCTTCCAGTGTAATACAGTCATATTTGGTAGGAAACAATTAGAATCTTACATTAGATTGGAACACAGGAAATATAATCTGTATTTCTGGACAAAGATAACAAAACAGCATTAACAAATTGCAGGGTATTCTGCAAATGTTCTATCTCTTGGTCCACTGAAGTAACTTACCTGTTTATGAAAAACAAACCAATGTGGAATAAAACTACCAAATCTCATAAAAATGTGTTTTTATGAAGACATTTACTTATCTGTTTCAGCATGGTATAACTAGTCCTTGCCTGCACTTGCCCGGTCTAAGCAGGTAACTACTCAAAGCAGGGCTAGCAGTTATGCACAGTAACACCAGAGAACCTGCAAAAAAACTTAAGGCCGAATATGTGATGAACTACACAATGTAAAATCGGAGAGCAGATTATCAACTTGCTATTGCTAAGTAAGATTTATTATCTGGCAAATTAAACCTGAAACTTGATTATTTTTTTTGTCTGTTAACAGTAGAATTGGACATAATGCTGATACTACGTTAAGATTTTTCAACTTTCTGTTACAACACAGAAAGTAGGATGGTAACAGAGGTGGCTCCTACCTGAAGATATTGTTCCTACCCAAAATGAAACAGCTGAGTGAATATCAAACAAAAAAGCAATAAGCCTCAGCTCTCAGACACAGCTAAGGAGGCATCTGCTAATATGTTGTGAAGAGAACCAAAGAGGATGATACTAGCAGCAATTGAGTAATAGATTTAACTGTTGAACACCTCGTTGTGTCCTAGAAATATTATTAAAACTAACTCCTCCCCCTGGCCCTTGAATGACTCTCCAGTTGGCTAAACTTTTCTTACTTTGGAAACAATGAAATATGAAAGCTTTAATGATGAAACCAAGTTTGACCAGAACGAATGCACGCAAGAAAGAAATAGGGGGAGCTTCCTTCTGTTGTCAGTTTACACACAAGGGTAGGTCAGTTGGCATCATATTAATAACTAAAATATTTTGAATCAAAGACAGACTGACTTTATGTTTCTCATTGGAGTTCACTCAGTTTTTGAAATGTAAGCTCATACTGTAATTTTCACATATTAAAAATAAGTTATCAGAAGCATGTCAGGTGACAAATTTCTAAATACCAAACACATTAATGAGAAAACATGTATGAACACAGGCTGGAACACAGAAGATACCTCAGTTACCTGTTTCCAACTTTTGATGTATACAATGACAAAATGTCCATCTAACACACTAAAAACATCATTTTCTATGTCTTGAAAAGAAACTCCACATAAGCAGTGATTTCTTCAAGGAAATTCGTATCACAAACCCAAACTTGTGTAACTATCTGATGCATCCATTTCCTTGGAAAGTTAACAGATTCTCCTACTGTTTTTATGGACCAACTACTAAAGAGCTTGTAGTTAGCTCCCTTAGTCCATTCGACCTTGTTCCTGCTTTCTCAAAACTTTATTGCCATGCTAGGCCTACTTTGGCCAACTTAGATTTCAAGCTCTTACATCTGATCAGCATCTGATTACTACACTTGACAGTATATAGATTTATGTGATTTTAGTTTACACTGAAGTGTGTAAACTAGAATAAATGTAGATATCCAAATAGTTTAAAGATGATACTCAGCACGTGGCGACAAAAGTAGAACCAGGACTTCACACCTTTATCACATAATCAGAGAAACAGACTGCAATAATCAGCCAGATTCTTTTTCTCTGGCACATCTTGAATTATCAAAGGGATTTGTGTTGTTGATAGTACAAATGTAATGGTTTGTATTACACCTCACTGGGAAAAATCGCATCTCTACTTCATAAAAGGTAAAGTTTGGAAGTGCATTGCAGTGACTTAAGAGGTGTAAGCCAAGTCAAACGTAGCTGGCATGAGTAAATGGTGACTGAAGTACTTCATGTATGAAGAACTTCATGTACTTCAATCATCATGGCTACCACACTCAACTCCCAGACTACAGTAGCTGCCACTGTGTGACTGAAACTAAGCCACAGGGAAGATGAGGAAAACTTTAAAGCGAATCCATGTGGCATCATTGTTAATCATAAACAGAAATCCTGAAAGCCCTATTTCTGTTGTCCTGCCACAACCAAGGCAAAGAGGAAATCTGTAATCAACAGGACCTATATTGTACAGCACTTGTTTTTAGACAGGAGCTTAGTTCTCTACTCGAAGAAGCATCAAATTAAGTTATACATATTTAAACTTTTTTTTCCCCAGCATGATTTTGGCCTATATATTCAGCTTTCCCTTATACATCATTCATAAATTTCCATTTCTGTTCCTTTTACGTAATGTAGGCAAAAAATAAAAATATGAGAAAACATAGCAAACTTCTCATTGACATTACCCTCCTCCGTATCTTCATGAAACACAGGCTTCCAGACTTATTTTGTCCATTAAAGTGTGTATTTTATTTACATATTTACAATAAACTAGTATCATTTATTGCAGAAGTCTGAAACAGCATTCAGGAAATTTAGAGAAAGCTTACCAAGACTCGTATATAATGTTTTAAATTCTATCATAGCTTCCAAAATTTTAGAAGAATTTTAGATGAAATGAACGGAAAGATGAGGCCAGAACACGTCTTCCTGCTTTTCCATGTTACCATTTTCCCCATGTGTAAATTCACAAAGAGCTCTTTTCTATTTTGACTTTTCCACACACTTATGAAACAAGGAAGGCTACTGAAGTTCTAATGTATTTTGTTACTTATGTATTGGTTTACAAGAGAAAATTTTAAATTTAATTAAAAGAATTACATTTTTCCTTTCAGGAATCACCATTAATCCTCTTCTTAAACACTCAACAGGTTAAAAACATATACGTGATATCATATACATGATATTTATATACTAACAAAGCACAGGGGATTAATGACTTGCCAAGTGATAGGAAGAACTGTTTTTCCTGTGCATTTGACATCTTCCCTTTCCTCTAACCTATTTGTATCAAGTTTATGTATTACAACCCCTGAATAGTCTTATACAGATCATATCATTAAGAAAAGTTAAAACCTTTTATAGCAAAAGAAAATCTGGAATACAGAATAAGGAAAAGAGTCCTAAATGATACCCAGAGGAGGCCAATGACAATCTTCAGAGACGCAGGACTCAGCCCAACAGTACAGTCAGTAACATCACATTACTTCCTCACATCGCTTCTAAAACTTTGTGGAAGGGAGAAAAATATTATGGTGAGAATTCTGCGTTAAGTAATTCACCATAATATTTCACCATATAATTGAAGGCTTGGGCTCCACAATGTCTTCCATGTCAGACCAGTGAAAGATTTAGAGGTGTAATACTTCACAAATATTTAAAATCTCTAGTAGAAAGCTCTTGCACCTTCTTGAAAGATACACCATTCAGCTTCCTTGACACTGCAGTTTTAAAGATCACTTTTTTTTTTTTTACTGTAAATATTAAGATTCTACATAATTTTTCCCACCTAAGGCCTCAATAATTAAGCAACCTTTGCCCTCCCCTAGAATAATCTACAGATTAACACTTTAAAACTTGTGACTACAGCAATAAAATAGAGACACAAATGTAGTAAGTGTGATTACTGAGGTTGCAGGCAGTTTTTAAAATCAGTGTTTATTTCCCCAAAATATCAGACACCTAAGAAAATCAGTTTCACGGTTAACCGGAATAGGATACATGAAAGAGTTCACTTCAAAGATAGTACGACTAATGCTTAAGATGAGCATTTATCCAACTGGACTTAAAGGCAAAACACAGTATCAGTCTTCAGTATCTACCATCACCTGAGTTACCCTATTTCTGATATTCACACTGCATGGCACCATTGGCAGTAAAGTACATGCACCTAACCCAACCAATTCTACTTTAACTATTTTAAAGATGCTAACATGAGTTAATACTAATAACTGTGTAAAGCAAGACAAGTGGTAATTCTTTTTGTTAACAAGTCTTCATAACAAATAGTTCTGCACAATGATCTCACTTTAAATAGTAGAAAATACAAGGCCAGTAACATATAAAGCAACTCAGACAAGAGCATCATTTCTCCACAAGTTTGTATTATTTCCCCCCTCCTTCCCCCCCCCCCCCCCCTCCGTGCACTCTTTTACTCTGAATACAATTTAAGTTTCACTTTAAAAATGAAGTAACTCAAACTGATTACCTTTTTTATATTCAATACAACTTGGAGCATTACAGTACTGTTTAGAGCAAACATCAAGTCATTTGGAATTAAATTACTGTTTTGTACACATACTTGTAATTTTAGAACTGACCTATGGACACTGATTTTTTTTTTTTTTTAATTTTAAATAAATACAGATGTGGCCCATAAGCATAAAAACTCTACACATAATCATGCAGAAAAGTATTCCAAGAGAATTTATTCTACTGAGCCAGCGGTCATTTTAGAAACATTAAGATGCATCTTCAGGATTTCAGTTTATGAATAACTACAAATTAACCTGCTAACACACACACACTTAATAAACACAGTTAAATGACTTGATACCTTTTTCCCTCATATGCAATAGGAAAAGCATATTTTGCACAAAACATGGATAGTGAACACAAAATAAAGCAAGCTTAGCAATGAAAAACTACTAAACAATAGTTACATCACAGTAAACAAATGCTCTAGTACCCCCCTTCTACAGACATTTGCATTCAGCAGTGTGAACACAAGATGAAACCGTACACAACTGAGATGCGAGAATTAATGATGC